TGTATTTTTGCATACTTATTTAATACATAAATATGTTTATTATTGATAATAAGGAGCGAATTTCTATTCACAATTATGTAATTATTGCTTTTGTAGGTAAAAATCACCCAAAAAAATAGAACAAAGCAAAAAGGAGGAGAAAATGACTAAATTTGTGCAAAATCGTGAATGTTAGGAACAAAACGAACAAGTCTAGAAAGTTGAAGGACCATGGATGCAATTTATGGAGGACATAAATGAAAGAAAATTCAAAATATGAAGACCAAATTGTACAAGATAAAGTTGAGGGACCAGTCGTGCAATTATTCAGGGGCTTGGGTTGCAATTTTTGGAAAAGGGTTCCGTTTCTTTTCATTTTTCATTCTTCCTTTTCATTCTCTTTTCTTTTTTTCTTTTGATTTTCTTGGTATTTTGGAGCAAATCATAGAGGATACAAAGGAGAATCAATCAAGGAGTTGGAGAAATTTTGGGAGAAACCATGTGCTAGCCATTATCTTCTCAAATCTAGCCAAACAAGGGATCTATCATAATCTTGTTGTTTCTTCATTATTTTTTTCTATTGGTGATATATTGTATGAATATTCTTTCTTGTTATCACATATATAAAATGAACTAAATTATTTTGTGTTGGGATTTATGGTTGAAATTTAACCTAACTTTAATTAATCTTAATATTTACCTTTTAATATTAAAATGCTTATTTTCATGTGTATTTATTATTGTGTTGAATGATTTTCATTTATTTGGCCATTAAATGATTGATTTTAGTGATTTGTGCATCGTTCGAGAGAAGATTGTACATTTTAGACTAAATATAAATACTTTAGGTTTGTATAGGGGATAGAGATATACCCCTAACACCAGGTGACCTATTGAGCTATTTTCACAAAAATTTAATGTGATTATTTGGTTATAATCGATATAGAGATATAGTAGGTTAAACCAATCAATTGTGGTTAATTTTGCTCAAGAGAAGTAATTAACTACAAATTGGAAAATTGGGTCTAATTGGCTTGTGAAAAAATTAATTAGGCGACGGTTAAGTGCATGAATCCCAACCACGCTTTTCTTCCAAAATTCCCAAGTGTTTATGTATCTTATTTTGTAGATTTTTAGTTCATTTTCTTTAATTTCCAAAATCAAATTTTATTGTGTGTTTGTTTTTATTATTAAAATTAAATTGTCTAAAGTTGTGTAATCGAAAGTAAACTTTCCTTGAGAGATCGATAATCTGGACTCAAAAAGTCCACTCTATTATTTGAAAGGAACCCTTGCATTTGCAGTATATAATTTTAGCGAACA